GCCCTGGGGGATTGGCTTAGGACATGTCTTGTCCCTCGCCCAAGACTGAGCATCGCTCCCGCGTGCACAGCCCAATCCTCAAGCTTGACACTCGCCTAGTGCATCCGCGACTAGCTCGTGCCTCGCTCGAGTAAGGCAACCTTTTGCCCTTGGCCATTGTCATGCGCGTCTTTCGTGCCCATACATTGCCCTCGCGACACGCTTCCATCCTAAATAGTGCAGTGTCGCCCCACAACTGCACCTTTAGGCCAACAAACCCTTGCTTGCATGGTTGAACCCAAGCCATGCTCACAAGTCGACACATGATGCCCCTATGACAAGTGCGTCAAGTATCCAATCGGCACAGAGGTCTCGTTCCAACATTCGGCAGCCCGCGGGGCTGGCCGTCCCACACATCGAGCCTCCAGCACCACTTTGATGTCCAACGCTAGCCCGAAGGCGTTGCGCCGCCCATAGAGTTTCCCTAACTCGTATGGGTGCCTTTGACACTCCTTTGAGTTATCTAGGCAGACCCTTGAGGTTGCCCCTAAGGTAGCTCATTCGATACGGCTCGGTGGCAGCACGTATGGGGGAGGCAGGTCGGAGCGTTCATCACCTATACCCCCTTTATATATGCTTAAAATTAAAAAGCTCAAGTTGCCCGAGTAGACAGTTCTACGTCAGACCATCAGAAGGATCTTTTCTCACCGGTTCTTGGCCGAAATTACAACTCCAAATTGCGAGTTGTGACACTTTATTTAATTGATTAGGGCCACATGAATCTTGAACTGCCTATTGGTCTTATGAATCTTGACTGCCTATTGGTCTTATGAATCTTGACTGCCTATTGCTGAGGTACAGGTACAACTGTAAAATGAGAAAAGTGACTGTTTGTCAAAATAGGGATCTCAAAGACTGACAACATGCTCTCAACTTGAATCTGTCCTATTTATGTGGATATTCATCATTGTTTGAATCGACTATTTCACTGGGTAAGCTACCCCTTGCTAAGCGACAAGATGGGTTGCTCTAATGGTAAGCGCCCTCCACTTTCAATTAAGAGGTTGTGAGTTCGAGTCACCCCAAAAGCAAGGTGAGAGTTCTTGGAGGGAAGGATGCCGAGGATCTATTGGAAATAGCTATGGGTAAGGTCTGCGTATACACTACCCTCCCTAGACCCCACTAGTGAGATTATACTGGGTTGTTGTTGTTGTTGTTGTACTTTGGCTTTTTAATGATTTCTCTCCCTGGTTCATTCTTGTATGTCGGCGTATCATTCCTTGTTCCAAGGCCAAGTGTCAGTTGCTGTTGGTTGGTTTTGCAAAAAACAAGGAGAATGATATCAGTTAGACAGTCAGTATTCATTGTGTATTATGAGGATTTTTCATAAGTTAGTTGCTTATTTTATAAAAACATTGGTCTTATTTTGCAGATATCATTACTATTTAGAAAGTCAGTTTTTTTCAAAAGATAATTTTCTCTATAACATCTAACAAGGGAAGGATTGTGTGTTTATAGTATATTATTTATGTACAATATAAGTCAGAACATTTCACCTTTCCACTCCAAACTCTATTATTTACAATCTAGTAATAATATTTAACTTGCCAAAAGAATACTCAAGTAATAGATGTAAGAGGGACGCTACGGTCATGATCAATGCCATACTTGTCCCAAGAAAAAGAAGGTAGTTTTTGACATATTATTTGGCTTGTTTTTTTAGATTAAAATTGTTTCTAATTATTACAAATAGATTCGATTGAATAATATCTTCTTTTTCGTGATTGAATATGTAGCTTTATCGACATAATATTTAGTGATTACCTCTAAAAGTGATATAAGAAATAAGGATAGGAAGTTAGAAGTTGAACTGATTAATCAGAAACACTTACTGAATTTAACCAACAAGAATGTTATATTGCAGTTAACGAGTGGTAAATTACTCAAATAATCGACAGATTCTCATCTTTCACCCTTGAGGGTAGAGGTGTAAAATAGCTAAATAGCCACTTTTGGTCTGCTAATTAGAAATTAGTCACACTTTCAAAAGCAATTGATTATATTAAACTCCACAAAATTACTCTTCTTTTTATCGTGCTCTCTTGCGATTCTCCTCTTCTATTGCTTTTCCTCCATCTGCGTCGCCGGCAATTGCACGATAAAGAAAACCAGTAGAGTATAAAGAAAACCCAATACGTGGCGCAAAAAAGGATAATAAACCCTAAATGGAAGAGAGGAAGAATAAGAATTAAGTTTCTGCTATAGTAATTGCTGATTAGTCTAATATCTACAACAATAAAGGGCAAGCAAGCATACAATCTATGCAAATGTGCGTATCGACCCAAACAATACTATATACGTTGTTATGATACGACAATTTTAACAACCGTCCAAACAAGGTGTAAGAATATAAGATTGATTTTGTTTTACAAGTTTGTTTGACGAAGTAATAGTTTAAGTATCGCTCATTCATCAGAAAACTCTTGTACAAAATGCACATTAATTTGTTGTTCCATGCGATAATTTAAACATTTATTCTGGAGAAAGCATGTTTAAATATTTATGATCTCATCCAATTTGCAATTATGAACGTCCATTCAGCATCATGTTGACTCGTTCTTCCAACTTTCCAGCAAAGACTTAATTATGTCTACCTTGTAATTTTCAAGATGACTTTTCTTTACCCCAGATTGAGTGAGGGTATTCTTGAAACATCACCTTATCCTTCAAGAAGCTCTTATGAGTTCTCTTCTTCAACTAATATGTTCTAAGGAAATATATAGAAATAATGTGGCATAACAAAACACTGGTATCTTTTTGTATCTTAGCTAGTCTATGTGCTAACAGAACATGGTAATTCATGTTTTGCAATGGAAGGAGATAGACTATAGAAAGGCCACTCTCTTTCTGGCATTTGGTACAAGCACTTTACTGAAATAACCACAATATGGATAGTAAAGGCTAGTTTTCAACACTTGCTCCTCTACTCCAGCATTTGGAATGTCTCAAGATGGCAACTTGGTCTTGAGTACTGACCTAGAAATAATATTTGGTCTGACTAATTTGAATCTGCCATTAACAAATTCCCTAGAAGCAGTGCATCTTGAAAGTGAGAATTTTGTACTAAGAGACGGCTCAGGTACTTTGGCAAAGTTTTAATCACCTAACAGATACATGGTTACCAGGTGCAAAAGCAATCTCTTGACCATGCTTCACTATATATAGCTATATATGTTGACTCGCTTTAGCACCCTGCGTGCCGTGTACCTCAGAAAGAGCAGGCCGTTTCACGTCAGGAATTTTCAGATAGCCATCAATTTACCTTTTTTCTCAAGTAGCAATATAATATTTTCACATTGGATGTGAGTTTTCCTCGCATAAGAAACAGGCCAATCAAGTTGCTTTTGTTCTTCAGTTGGAAATGTAAATCCTGACAGACATGTGCATGAGGGTGAGAAATTTGCTTTGAAGCTACCAAATTCTCCATACTGAGCAAAACTATTTGCTTTGAATCTTGGTTGAGTGAAGATGGATGTCCAACTTTGCAATCCACGTTGACAGGCCAGCTCACAAGCTCTCCCGATAGATGAATCACAATTCTCAAAAGGGTGTGATAAATTACCAAAATTGCATGTTTTAGAGTGTGTTTTTATCTTTTTTATGTGAGTTGTGGGAGATCACATGATTTTTAAAGTGAGTTATGCTCATTACATGTTTCTTGTATGTAGGAACGAATTTGGATGAAAATTGATCAAAAAAAGAAGATTCAGCGTGAAAAGAGACAAAGAAACAAAATCCTTGAGAGTGTCTTAGAGCTGTGCGTCGCGCGAGCCATAGGCATGCCAAAGGAGTTGGCAATGTGCAAAACAGCAAAGTAGAGACGAGGACTGCTGCATTAAAAAAAATATAAAAAACTGGGAGCGTGCATTAAGGCCGCGCGGCGTGCGAGCCCTGGCATGCAATCTGTTACGC